AATACAGACAGAGCATCAATTGGACAGAGCCTGGTCTCCAATCTTTATTAACAGCGAATCCAACTGGCACTCTGCCTCCCCATACGTCACTAACCTCAAAGTATCTAGGCACTAGAGGTCCTTTACTCTGGCACAATGTGAAACCCTCCTCTCAGCTGTCCTTGAAGACCAATACAGGAGATTTCCTATCCAGAGAGACAATTCTCCCCTCCACATGGTCTACAGAAACAACAGAGCAGGTACTCCTCAGTGTCTGCATTACAAAGACATTTGTACTAGCCTCATCTCATAATTATTACATAAATATCCAGAGTGCACGGGACAATTCTGAACCTCCCTGCTGCTTTCAGATACTAACTAGCTACCACATCTATACAGGGGTCTTCAAACTTGACAGCTTGAAGACTTGGGGACTTCAATTCCCAGAATTCCTCCTCCAGTCATGTTAGCTCAGGAATTCTGGGAGTTGAAGTCCACAAGTCTTAAAGCTGTCAAGTCTGAAGACCCTTGATCTATAATGTTGCCACGTTCTGCGCAAAAGTGCTTAAATTCATCAGATAGTGACATGCGCCATAAAGACTCGCCATAGTCTTTAAAAGCATCCAGCTTCTCGTACTAGATAAGAATTCTCTACTGTGAGAGATTTAATTTGCCACACGCTAACTTCTATGCTCCCCTAGGCCCATCCAATGCTCTTACCTCTTTTTGTTGTTGGACTCTGATGTATTCTCTATGCTTTTTAACTGACTCTACCCACCTTCCTTGTGCTGGTCCTTAAGTGTAATAAAAATGTAATTTATTGTAGTAATGGAAAGAAAGAGGACGTTTCAAAAAAAAGAAAAAGAAAACTCGTAGCAATGGCAGAGCTGCTTTGCATTTGCTGCTCCTGAGATGACCACCCCTTCAGTCTCTGACGTGGCTCCGAAAGCAGGACCACAATTGGCCCAGAAAGTGCATTCATAGATGTCATTCCTTATGTCTGCCAACACCAGCTTTCCTGTGATCACCCGGAGTATATCAGAAATATAACAAAAACCAAAACGTAAATAAAGGTCCTTTAATGCTTTCAACTTGGCTTCACTGTTTAATTGTTCACAGTTGAAGATTAAACTATTTTCAAAATAACATTCCAAACAAAAGAAACAGTTCAAATTCAAAGAGCAGATAATGAAGCAAAAACCAAAAACGAAACCGCACTGAATAAACTTCCACGACAGACCAGGATAAATAATTGCCAACTTCAGGAAGATAACCAGGTACAGTCCCTTGGAAGAACGCCAACCAAGATAAACCTCCTCTAGGAATAAAACACTAATTTGTCTGCAGCGTTTGATAGCACACAGGTCCAGACTCTTATGCAGATCTCACACCTGCATCCCATGAAGAGGATCATGGCCCTCTCCTCCCGAGTAGACCATGTTTTTCTCTGATCCTCTCCTCCCTGCGTGCCCTAGGATGGATAGGGGATGGGCCTGGGTCCTCCTCTGACTGCTCAGCCGGCCTCTGCCCTTCCCCAGCCTCCTCCACCACCTCTGGAGCCACACTCCCACTCCCTGTTGGATGTTCCTCCTCTCCCTCAGAGTCAGTCTCCACCAGGGGCATGACATTTCCTATACTAAAACAGTGTACAGGTAGTCCTCAACTTACAAACCTTTATTTAGTGACTGTTCGAAGTTACGATGGCACTGAAAAATGTGATTTATAACTGTTTTTTGCACTTTTGACCATTGCAGCATCCCCATTGCTACGGGATCAAAATTTGGCAAGTGGTTCATAGTCACGATACTTGCAGTGTCCCAGGGTCATGTGATCATCTTTTGCGACCTTCTGACAATGTCAATAGGGAAATCAGATTCACTTAACAGCTATAGGATTAACAACTGCAGGGATCCACTCAACAACTGTGGCAAGAAAAGTCATAAAATGGGGCAAAACTCACGTAATAACTGTCTTGCTCAACAACAGAAACTTTGGGCTCAATATTGTCACATGTCGAGGACTACCGATACAGAGATTTTTTGTTTTCTTTTAACGACTCTGTAATCCCTCACATTGGGGTGGAGTCGGGGCGATTTAATGAAGCTGGGCGTTTACTGGCCGGATGCCCTTCCGGATGCCTTCGCAGAGTTTGCAGCAGATATTTTTCTCTTTGCGTCCAGAAATATCTGCTGCTACCTAGGAGCTAACTCATAGGCTTCTCATTGTGAGGCGAGAGCTCCACCTCTAGGCCACCATGCTGCTCACCACCTGTACAGAGATTATTGTTGGAGGAAAAATATCAGCTGAGGCTTAATATCATGAAGATGTGACATGCACACACACAGAGGCCATTTTGTTCCCTAAACAGAAGTAGAGTACAGATAGTCCTCAATCACAGTTGGATCAGCCTTTCCATTGCTAAGCAAGGCAATTGCTAAATGACTTGTGCCTGACTTTACTACCTTCTTTGTCACAGTTGTTCACTGCAGTTGAGTGAATCATACAGTTGGTCAATAAATCAGGCTTGTTTCACTGACTTTGTGTCAGCGTTCCAGAAAACCTCCACTCCAACAAATAACTCCGAGACAGACGTCCTCTCAAAAGTTCTGTTTTCTTTGGATAGCAAAATGGCACATCTGGGGAATCCCGAATCTGAAATTTCCAGGGTTCCTTGCAATAAGTAAAAAGTACAAAATGCACCCCCTGCACCCATCATCACATCACATGCCCCAATCACCGTCCATCCCAAGCTGAGCTCAGCAACATCTGTTACAAGCCATATATAACCAAAATCACAGGTCTGTTATCATCATGGAGATGGGGCAATGGCCTACTTACATCATGATGTTTGATGAAAACTTGCATTTGCTGAATGTCTCAGCATTTGTTTGCTTTTGCTTCTTCTCAGTCCCTGGTGGTTGCCCATGACTCTGCTACAGAAACCATAGATGCTACAAACCGCTGTTTCCCAGTACCACTAGTGTTTATCATTTTTTGCATGTAATAATGTTTATTTTACATTCAAATGTATAAATATGTGCAATATAGTAATTACATTAAACTGGACATTACCAAAAAAAGTGCAGTTATTTTAGGTTTTCTCTCTCTCTCTTGTAATATGTAAAATAACATTATATTGTATCTGTTTAGAGAAATACGAAGATGACCTTGATTTGTGGCAACTATTACTAAAAGATGAGCTTAGCTTGGGAAAACAGGAAGGGGTGAAAACCCCTGAAATTCTTGAATTTTATTCCAGTCTTGAAGCAAAACAGGATGCTTCATTGCACACTATATTGTATGATTCCTGGTATTTATAGGAGCCATGGTCTTCCAAATGCTGTCAATATTCTCCCAGCAATTCCAATATTCTCCCAGTTGTTAGAAAGTTTGGGAAATTCTGGGAGTTATAGTTTGGCAGCATCTAGAATAGATCATCCCTCAAATTTGGCCCCTTTTAGATGTGTGAACTTCAATTTCCAGAATGAGAGTTGCTGGCTAGAGAATTCTGAGTGTTGAAGTCCACACATCTTAAAGTTCCCAAATGTTAAAAAACAGTTATGTAGAATCACCAGGTCCCATTACAGCAAGAGTCATATTGCTGGTGACAAAGAATCCATTAACATCTAATGGAGAGCTGCAGAGTATATGAGGCAAAATGAGAGCTGCAGAGTGTATGAGGCAAAATGAGAGCTGCAGAGTGTATGAGGCAAAATCACACAAGAGCAAAGCAGAACTGAGGCAAATGCAAGGCAGAGAGATTCTTTGTTATTGTTATTAAACTATGATATGCCTATTTTGGGAACAATTTCTGTCCATTTCTTAGTACAAAATAAAAAAAACTGGCATTTTACATGGCAACCATAGTATAAACAAGCCCTGCAAACACTCTTTTCTTCTGCTATGGCATAATGATCTTGCTTTCATCTCACCCTTGGCTCATGAGTAAGATGGACGTACCAGGTTAAAGTTGCTTTCTGACAGTGACCAAAGAGAAATAGGAAGAGGAAGGCATGTTGGATATGTTTGCTGCCTTGAATTATTTGTAAAAATATTAAAGCCGGGTTACAAATCAAATCAAGTCAAATCAAATTGAGAGATATAGTATTTTTCAGCTTTGTCGTTTTGAAATGACCACAATGAAGTTCAGAGACTGGGTGGTGATTAGCAACGAATTCAAAATTTTCATGTCAATAGTTTTCTGGGAAGAGCATGTGATATTGGGATAAGTTCCAGAGGTATCAGTGGTGTCTTTTCAGGCCTACCATACCAAAAAGATTGCCAGGAATCACCCAGCATCTTCTTTACTCTTCAATGGATCAAGGTTTTCTCCACGATAATTAACAGATATGCAAAAATAAATAGATTGCTAAGTAGAAGATGTTGATCGGATTGTTTTCTCATTTTTATGTATATTTGTTCAACTCATTGAACATATCTAATATTTCTGCCTCCAATTTTCTCCGTAACAACAATCTTGTGAGATTGCTTGGGTTGAGAAAGAGTAACTGGCCTAAAGTCACCCAGTTGGCTTTCAAGATGGCAATAAATATTTGACTTCATTGCTGCCTTCTAATTTTCAGCTGGATTTTGAAGCTTGGATTTGGCAGGCTATATTGAATAGTATTAATCTTTCCCCTGTTTTTATATTCTGTGTGTTATTTTAGAGTTAGTACATTATTTTGTCAGCAGATGGCGCAAGAAGATTGAGAAACCACATTTTATAATAGTTGAGATTAAAAATTCCAGTTAAAACTCTTATTGAAGTAACCGTTAGAACACTTTTTGAAGTAACAATTAAAACACTATTGAAATAGCAGGGAGGTGGGGGATGACACTTTCCTTCAAACACTGCAAGAAATTTCTTGTCTGGATTATTTTTTTTTTTAGTATTGACAGAAATCTCACAGTAGTTCCAATTATCGCTACACAATACACACTCTCTATCTCTCTCACTCTTTCAAACACACAATCTCTACAACTTTATAAACAGCACTTTTGAATGGTATCTGAAGACCTACTGGCAACCAATGAAGTCCCTGCAAGATGGACATGAACTGGGACTGACCATTGGCAACTACGCAGCTGCCTTTTGGACCAGATGTAATTGCTGAGTAGTCTTCAAGATCAGCCCAAAGAAAGCAGATCAACAGTAATCAAGATGAGAAATGATGAGAGAGTCACCCAAGTTTCCTGATTCAGAAACAGCTTCATCTGGTGTAACAGCTAGGCAAATGCTTTCTTCTTCCAGCAAGAGCTTTGAGTCCAGGAGAATCCCAGATGCTTCGTGGACTCCTTCTGAAAGAGTGAAACCTCATTAAGAACAAACAATGGTGTTATCTTGTTTTCTGAAAAAAATGGAATTGCTAGGGGTGATAACTGATATATTCTCATGCCAGGTATGAGGGAATACTGCTCTCCCTAAACAGCTATTTTGCTACTGCTTACTATTGATGCATCTCCTTTCTACCTTCTAATGATCCAGGAAGGGATGCCATCTGTATTGTACTCATGCAATTAAATATTGTCCCAGATCTAATTGCCTCCTGTGCTTTTCCCACCTTCCTTCTCTCTCCTCCTTGTAATAGGATATTGGGCTCCAATACAGATAGAAGGAAATCAAGAATGAATGAAAGCAAAAGGGAAAACACCATTCTACTTTCCCAGTTTATTTCAAAGTAAACAAAAGTTTTCTGATTGCCTTCTAATCTAAAGCAACCCTCTATTACCAGTAAAATATAACGTAAAGCCTGCTCATTTCCGCTAGAATTTGAGGACTTTGGAATTAAAGCATGCTCTATTTTTTATACCTTCTTACCAACTTCTCACGCTTTGTTTCCTGCAGATCTTGCTCTTTCGGATATTCCTTCCTTCATCCTTTGGAAACACTTGGCGAATCTGGACCCTTTCCCTGTTGCACAGACTTCAGACTTTCTTTGCCTGTACAAAAACTCAATTCCAAGAATTGTTCTGGTCCTTTTGTCAGATTAACAGCTCAATCTCCTTTCTCCAAAGCTTGGGTGATAATATAAGGCCTGCTCTGGGATGGAGATTTGTGGCCACTCCTGCCCCAGTTGCATTACTTAACCCCTTTTTCAAGAGTTAATTCTAGATTAAGTCTCCTATCATGTGGTTGTGGGGATTTTATTATTTTGGAGAGAGATAGACTGCAAAACCTATTCCATAAGAGTGTCTTGCGCTAAGTGTCACCCAACGGGCAGCTTTTCGTTTAGAGGAGCACATGGATGCTAACAGTTGGAGACACCCCGAATGCATCAATTTTGAGCAGATAGTATTTTGCAGATAGTATGCTTTGGCTTCTTATTAAGCCCTCGTGTTGGCAGGCTGAGGTTTGTAGGGTGATCAGTTCAAGGCAACACAGGATTGCTGATCCAATTTCTCTCTGAGGTGATGTAATCTGGAATAGCCTTGATAAGGTTACGTTGTCCTTTCACCCGGGACTCATGCGGGTGGGTGGAGGAGAGCGAGAGAGCATGTTTCGAGTTAAATCTGCTTTCCTGCGAACTGATACTATGATTGTATTAATATATCATACAGTCCCCCTGGTTTATTTTAACCTCAGCTTGTTGAGGCTTAGCCAGAAACCATGATTTACAAAGCACCAAGGTTAACACGCACCAAACTGGCATTATGGCTTAACGGAATATTGCCACGGGGTTCTTCTTAATTCCTTCCTGCCCCTCCCCCCCCACAGGAAATAAAGATTTTGACATTTCAGATTTGGATCAACTTTTCCTCTGAACTTGCTTCTATAAATTTAACATACTTTAACCTAAGGGTCTTCAAACTTGGCAAGTTTCAGACTTGTGGACTTCAACTCCCAGAATTCCTGAGCTAACATGACCGGAGGAGGAGTTCTGGGAGTTGAAGTCCACAAGTCTTAAAGCTGTCAGGCTTGAAGACCCCTGCTTTAACCTAACAGACAAGTAGTCCTTGACTTAGAGCCATTTATTTAGTGACCACTTGAAATTACAAAAGCACTGAAAAAGCGACTTTCACACTTACAACCATTGCCGCGTCCTCATGATCAAGTGATCAAAATTCAGTTGCTTGGCAACTGGCTCATATTTATGATGATTGTGCTGTCCCAAGGTCATGTGATAACCTTTTGAGACCTTATGACAAGCAAAGTCAATGAGGAAGCCAGATTCCCTTAACAACCGTGTCACTAACTGAACAACTGCAGTAATTCACTTTAAAATGGTGGCAAGAAAAGTCGCAAAATGGGGCAAAATGTAACAATTGTCTTGTTTAGCAACAGAAATGTTGGACTCAATTGTGGTCATAAGTCAAGGATTACCTTTACATACAAATACTTTGCAGGCTTTTCTATCAGTCTTCTTCTATGTCAGGAAAACTATGTTTGAACCAGAAATTTAAAATCATAGGACTAGCATGGCAACCCTGTTTATATTTGCTATTTATTTGCTACTTCCAATTAGCAAAACACTGATATACCACATCTGAATAAGCTAGACTCAAGACAACAGCTTGAAAACAGTTATGGCTTCTCTGAAGCTTTAAGATTCTGAATTAAGATTAACAACACTGACTCGCAATATAGTGAGCAGGTTTAACTTTTCCTTATTTTCAAAGCATGATCAAAAAGTTCTAAGTTAAAATATGTAGAACTGCAATTACTTCTGCATCCAAGCAAGGTTGTTTTCAGGGGAAGGAGACCCCTGTTGCACTCCATGAGAATCCAGCCATTTGGAATAATAAACTACAATTAAATTACTAATGGTGAGGTATGTACATATTCAACAGAAGGAAGCCCTAATTTGAATTCTTGTTTTGATTTCCCATTAAAACTTTACTTTGGTTCTGTACCAGGGAATTAGGGATCTCTGCTGCTCCTTTGTGTGAGAAACAAGTGAAAGGTAAGATTGGAACAGGACAAAAAATACGTAGCCAGTTTCTAGATTTAGACATCAGAAGGCATTAGCCGGGTTGAGCCCTCCTCACTGACGAACCGTAGATCGTGACTGTCCGCAGCTATGGTCCATGCTCTTTTGTTGGAGAGCCCCGTTCATTGCGATTAGGGGCTGAAGCTGCCTTGGAGGGGCGGTGGAGTAAGGGGAAACCACCAGCCAGGTTGAGGGGAGCCGCATCTCTCCTTCTGGGCTTGGTCTTTCCCCCCCCCCCCCCGAAGATGACTGAAGCGGTGGTCCAAAATGGCCACCCCGAAGAGGAGGACTCAGCTGGACTAAGATTTGTGCAGGAGTGAAGAAAGAGGTGGATAACATCTGAGCTGGGACAACTGGGTGAAACAACCAAACAAAAAGGACCCCGGGATTAAGGTAACATGGAACTTTTAAGAAAAGAAAAGTGAGCGGCAAAAATACAAAGGGACAGGGGGAAAAAAAAGAAAATAATTTTGACAGCTAAGCGGGGCTTCGAACTGGGAAAGGAAGAAGCCGGAATTGGATTAAATTGGATAAATTGGATTAAAATATTTTGGCAATAAATAGGCATAAAATAAAGCTGGACTTAAGATTGTCAAAAAAATAATAATAAAATTTACAAATTGGAGACTGGATTGTTCTGGAATATGAGGTCCGAAAAACCCTAAATAATAAAATAGGGGAAAAAGGTGAAGACTTTGTAAAATGGAGAGTGCCATCTTCTGGATAAAAACTTAAATTCAAACAAAAGGGAAATCATCCTGTTTCTGTATGAACTTGTGTCAATATAATGTTAAAGAAATATTGAAACAAAGTAAGAATCTTAGAAAGTGAAAGCTGAACCAGAACAAAGAAAGAAGCAAGGAAAGACCGACTGCGGGATTGATTGATGTTTTTGGTATAGACCCTGGGTTGGAACAATTGAGAACTTTAGAAAACTTGAAGAAGAAAGAAAGAAAGTAAAAGTGTTTTTTGTGGACTTTAACGATTATAAAATATAAGAGTGTGTAATGATGATATCTCTTCGGGAATTAAAAATGGAACTTAAAAGTATGAGATAATTACTATGGGAAAGAGGCGAATCACTTTGTTCTGTGTTAGAAGAAATGGAAATGGCGATTGAAGAACAAAAAGAAAGAACTTCAGAGGAGGAGGAGTCGGCTCAAGGAGAAGCCATCTTAAATGGACAATTAACACAAAGAACACTACAAAGACGAGGGGAAAGAAGGAAGGCTAAAAAGTTGAGATTTAAGAAGGTAATTAAAAAGGGGAATACCTATGAAATCAGGAGAGGTAGAAAGGTGCAGCAGAAAAGGGGAAAGGAAGATATTAAGAAAGAGAGGGATATAAACTGGAATGAGAAAAGATATGGGAAAAAGAGGGGGAGGAGAGGCAGTAAGAAACAGGTGCAGGAAATAAAGAAACACAGAAATAGTAAAATGATGAAAAGAAATTGGGTTTTTTAGAGATAATTGTTGATGAATTAAAAAGGGGATTCTGCAGGGTGACAAGGGGTAACAAGAATATATTTGCAATTAAAAAATACTTACAAAATAGGGTAATATAGATTATTAAAGGAGGGATAGATACTGATAACTTATTAGATGAATATACATTTTTATTTTTATCTTTAAAAGAAAAGTTAAGGTTTATTGAAAAAATTGTAATAATTGAAATGAATGTGAAGTTTAAAAATGAGGTCAATATCAGTAACCAGGAATTAAATAGTCAGTTTTTCCCTTTTTGAAATTAGAAATAGTTAAGAGGGGAAAATATATTGCGGAATCCAAATGAAAAGATGTAATGACTATTATTGTAACTACTTAAAAATAAAGGTTTATTGGGAATTAAGATGAGGGAATAAAGGTATATTTTAACCACTGAGGTGTCACACTCAAAGCAGTAAAAGGGGGGAAACTTAAGTTTGTTTCTTTTTCTCGTGTTAAAACTTGTATTAATCTAGAATTTATAGAAAGAATGTGTGATGAAAAGAAAATATGACCGATTAAAGAACTATTTAAATTAATAAGCTAATACAGATTATTAAAAGGAAGGAGAGACATTGGTAACCTTTTTTTTATTTGGCAAACATACATTATTTTTATTCTTAAAATAAATATTAAATTATTTGAAATAATTGAAATGAAAGGATGTTTGGATTGAGATTAATGTAAGAGATTAGGATTAATTTGCTTGTTTCTCTCTTTTCTGAAAATTTGGAATGGAAACGGTAATAATAGAATTAAGTATGCATATATGAATGTATAATTATTGTCATATTTTTATGTAAAAGTGATGATCCGGAAATATGTTGTCCACTAAAAAGAGCCTTTTGTTTTTATGTGAAAAATTGAATAAAACTTGTTTTAAAAAAAAGAAGGCATTAAGAAAACCACCTAGAACATTTGGAGAACATCCTTGAGAAATGCAATACTTTGGTATTGCACAACTTTGGTATACTAAGAACATGGCTTATGTTTTCATTTGCTACACCAATCATTTAACCAGCACATTCCAACGTTCTGCTCATAGATTCCTGGGCCAATCAGATGAAAGGGAAGGACAGACGTTGAGAGGCCTTATAGTGCTTGGCTAAGATCCCACTATCTTACAGAGTCAGCTGCGAGTGTCCCAACAGAGCTAGTCACGTCAGACCTGCTCTCTGCTATAGGCTTGAACAAACTAGATAATTTCATTCCTTTGACCCATTTTTTTTTAAATATCCCCAAATGTCCACGTTCTTCTACTCTTTTAGCTGGAGAATTTTAAAGCATTGTTTTTCAAGCTTTTGGACAGCGATTCGTACTTTCTCTCAAAATGTGACAGGGTGGCAACAATGCACTTACGGTATGGTACAAACAGCTTTTAAGGTGTTTCCACTTAAAAAGTTACCTACCAAAGCACGAGGTGCAGCTGTTTCTTTATTACTTGTTTTTCAATATAGAAAACACAGAATATAAAATATTTCAAGCCTGTGGTATGCAAGAAAATAGAAGTGACGACAAACATGGAGAAAAGTTTTTCTTTTCTCTATAGAGATGAATTACAGAGTGAAAAAAAAATCCTTATCTGAAAGAACAAAATGTGAATATGCACATGACATTCTGGTTCTGCCTAAAACATTAATCAGAACCTTGTTCATGATTAAAACAAGCAAACCCTAAATAATGACACTAAAATCAAGAGGCAGTCTTATATGGAAACAGATGTTACGACAATTTATAATCATATTCTTAGGAGGTTGATCAAAAGAAAACCATTTCCTGCATGGATAAGTATTTATTTACATAGGAACCCTGAAATTTTTGCCAATAGCTTCAGAACTACTGCTGTAGTATAAAATAATTTTATTTTTGATAATGTAACCAAGGGGTGCTGTGACGGTCTTCAATGTAAGGAATCCTCCAAAAAATTTTTTTTATTTTAGTGCTAATGCAACTTTGAACAGCCCTAAATGAATGATTAAGATGAAAAACCTCCTGTTCCTACTATTTCCCCGTAGTAGATAATTCTACTAAATAAAATAAAAACACCGCTTTAGAAAAAGAGAAAACACTATGTAAATAGCATGATAAGTAGGTCCTGGCAACCCCCTCCCCCCAAAATGGAGTAGTTTAATAGAACAAGAGAATTTCTACTGGCTACAGGTGAAGATTCCAGATTAGAATGGTTTCTACCTAAGCCAGGTGCATAACTGAATGGACTTCCTGCATCTTTAGTTAGGCAAGATGGATGGCAAACAAACAAACAAACGTGTAAGGATTAGATGTATAATTTATCATATGACATACTATGCTCTCAAATATATTTCACATTACATTTAAAGGAGTTAACAACCACATCTTCTCTTCCAATAGGATT